TGTATTTGTCTAAAATGTTTATTTGTCCTTAATATTTTCAACAACACTGTCCGTATACCGTACTGCGTAATTACGTATAAATCTATTGTTTTACTTGATCTTGAACGAACTGCGAACGTTGTTACCTTACAGGAAATTCATACTCAGGTAGGAAGTAGTTAACGGAAGTTTCCGATGAACAAACAGCCTGCTTGCTGGTGAAATGATTGGGGTAAGATATTTTAATAATCCACTAAGGCTAGTGATCAAGTCGTCGTCCAGCAGCTTCCAACAGGTCATCCATTGAAAGCCTATCAACATCTTAATTTTAATGAATTATAAAAGTCTGAAATTTAAACCCTAATTTATCTAGTTATTTGGCATTCCTGTAATCATTATGGCTTCGTAAGGTAAGACTTTTAAAACAAACACAAATTTGAAACTTTTACAATATTCCTTCACGATGTTTGTCTATCAGTGGGTCAACAGTAAGTTTCCGGAGTTCGATTCCTGATATCCCATTGTGTAGCTTTGCGCTAAAAACTACGACAACGAAATCCACATATTATCTAAGAATTTCGTGCTATTCTATGGTTACGTATAGTTAGAAATGGGTAAAAAATAAATACACTGTCTTATGGAAGTTTATATAAGAGCAACCTATTTAAATAAACCAAGGTAGACTAGATGTTTCATGCGATTTTATTTGTTTGTTTTAAAGTACAAAGCTACACAATAGGCTATCTGTACTCTGCTCATCGCGGCTGTCGCATCCCAACCTTTAGCGTTATAAGCCCACCGACTTACCGCCGAACTACCGGGGGGGGGGGGCGTTTTATTGCGAAACTAACTCTATAGGTTTTTATTATGGGTTAATATTAATTTTTTAATTTTATTATTGTGCTTGCTTCGATCAGAGGATAGAAATATTTGATTTGGATCTAGTTCACATGTAATAATAATATGAAACATCGTAACTAAATATTAGTACCACTGTCATTCGGTTTGGTGATTGACGGTGAAACAAAATTTCACAAAATATGTACCAGCCATAAAAGATTTGTTGACGGTTAAAATAGTTGATCCTGTCTTCCCAAAATATTTTTAACCTGCTATAAAATGTATATCCGCAAGTGTATCAACGTACTGGTTGAAGCCGTGGGGTGGCCCTCTGGTAGTGTTCTGGACTCCAGAGCTGGCGAGCCGGTATTTGATCCGTGTGATATCACAAAATATTCTCCGCACTTTGAGTTATGGGTGTATAATAGGAATGACAGATGAAGGCGATCCTGAACGGCAGTACATATTCTTAGTAACTTTGCCATAAATACAAAATGTGTACAGTACAATATAAAACTCAAAGTAGCATGATGATTTTGACTTTATAAACCACAAAGTTTACCACTAAGCTACTGGAGGAAAGGAGGCTTTCGGAAAAGATATGACTGGTAGGTTACATAAAAAAATAACAACATCGGTTCCCAAATCCGCTGAGAAACAACGTATTTTATAGCTAAGGCAGGTTAGGGCTTGTAGTAATAGAAACGTCTACTAAGTATATTAGAAAGTAAGTTTTATTTTCAGCAGAAATAATTAAAACAGTAATTCCACGTATCTGATTTTTTTTCCAAGACCTAAGTATGCCAAGTGTACATCGTCATAACACAGTAAGCCAAGTGTACATCGTCACATAAGATAGTTGGCTGCCGGAAGTAAACTTGAAACATTTGCTTTCGTATTCATGAAAACAATTATAATAAAAGTTTTGGTTTAATGTAGATGTATCAACTTATCTGTTTTTATATTTAAACAAATGTCAGTTTGAAAATTATGACATTCATATTAGAATTGGTTTAATTCTAATAATTAGCTTAACTAGAGTAGCATCAGTTGGAGATTTGGTGAAATATAACATCTGCCATCTAAATCATTTAAAGTAATTTGGGAATGGCTCTTGAAAGATTTGTGGTTCAAGCATCTGTGGTCATATGAATAAGGTCGGAAATTTTGAAATTTCTGAACAACTGGAGTACACGAACGATAGTAGACATGTACGACGCTTTAATCTGAGCTGAGGCCTCGCCTGCTGAAGTTTGTTAAGCTTGATGTTTTGGTTGAACAGTTAGGTTTAGCTTCTGCTTAAATAGCCTATCGTTAAGTTAATTCGAAAGATGAAATTCTAATATTAGTAGGAAACTAAAGCTGTAATGTCCTTATTAATAAATTTCGACACCTTCTAGAATATCTTAATAATTAAATTTTGACACCTTCTAGAATATTTTAATAATTAAATTTCGAACACCTTCTAGAATGTTTTAATAATTACATTTCGATACCTTCTAGAATATTTTAATAATTTAAAAGTTACTTTAGTAGACTTTAATATGGTTTGGTTGTTGTTAAACGCAAAGCTACACAATGGGTTACTTTTGCTCTGCCCACCACGGCTATCTTAACCCGATTTTTAGCATCGTAAGCCTGCAGACGTATTGCTGAGCCAGCGAGGGCGGAGTCTTCAAATGATTTTGTAGTACTATGGGAAAGCAACAATAAGACAGCTCTCGTATTAATAACATTACACTGTTGTATTTTACGTAA